CACCTACTACCACACCTACTACACCTACCACCAATTTACCCTCACCTACTCCTCACCTACTACCCAAACCCTCTCCTATATAATGAGCTACTCTGATTTGTAATATAACAGATCAATATATCAATCAATAATATCAATCATCAATACATATTTCATTCTCTCTATTTTTCCATACATTAAATTTTACAAAGAGTTTCAAAGCCAGGAGGAATATTCATATACACCTCCTCTTCTAGGTCACCATGTAGGAAAATATTCTTCACATTAAACTGATGAAGTGGCCAATCTAGATTAGCCGCTAGAGAGCGAAGTATTTTGATTGAATTCATCTTTGCAACTGGATCAAATGTCTCTTGGTAGTCCACCCCATAGGTCTGAGTAAAACCTTTTGCCACAAGCCGAGCTTTACACCGCTCAATTAAACCATTTGTCTTGTGCTTCACAGTATACACTCTTTTGCATTCAACAGTTCGTTTGCCCCTAGGTAACTCAGTCAAATCCCAAGTGCCATTCTTATGAAGTGTTTTCATTTCCTCCACCATGGCTAGTTTCCACTCAGGAGTAGTAAGAGTATCCTGAAAATGATTAGGTATACTAACAGAGGAAATTTTTGACACAAGGGCTTTATATGAAGAGGACAAACGAGAATAAGACACAAAGTTAGATATAGGATGATGAGTGCAAGATCTCACACCCTTTCTCTTGGCAATGGGTATATCAAGATCAATTGGCTCAGGCTCAGAGATAGCAATATCAGGTGTTTCAGGATTACCTAGACCTTTATTAAGAGAAGGAGATGGCAGTGATTGATCAGAAATGGTCTCTTATATCCAAGTAACTTGCTGCCTTTCCTTATCCCTAACATAAACTTGCCCTTCTTTGTGCTTGGCAACATCGGATTCTATATTCCTAATAATAGATACCACTGGAGGTGGTATTGGACCAGGAATAACAAGTACCTTTGATGGCAGTACTGAGCTAGGAATAATAGAAGTAATAGGACTCTCTTCACTCCAGGACTCTCCCTGAAAAGAGGACGGGGATGTGAGACGAGAGGAGACGTAGGAGTGAGACTCAAAAAATGTGACATCCATGAGCACAAACCATTTATGAGACAAAGGATGATAACACTTGTGCCCCTTTTTGAGTAGGGGAGTAACCTAAGAACACACATTTGAGAGAACGAGAATCCATCTTACCCTGAGAAGGCGAATGATTGTGAACAAAGCAGATACAACCAAAGGATTTGAGAGGAATGGAAAACAGAGACTCAGAACTTAAGAGAACTTGAAGAGGGGTCCTTTTGTGTAAGACTTGTGTAGGAAGACGTTTAATGAGATATGCAACAGTGAGAACAGTCTCGGCCCAATAGGCGCAAGGGACACCCATAGAAAAACACATACAGCGAGCCATATCAAGGAAATGACGATTCTTGCGCTCGGCAACCCCGTTCTATTGAGGGGTGTTAGTGCAAGATGTTTGATGGATAATGTCATAAGTGGAAAAATACTGAGCCAACCCCGAATCAAGATACTCGCCCCCATTATCAGAACGCAAGATTTTGACAACCGCCTCAAACTGAGTACTAACCATCTCGTTGAAGTTTTGAAACATAGAAAAAAGTCTCACTTTTGGCTTTCATGAGATACACCCAAGTAGCATGAGAGCAATCATCTATAAAAATAACAAACCATCGATGACCCTTGATAAACATGACACGAGAGGGGCTTCAAACATCCAAATGAATTAAAGAAAAAAGAATGGAACTTTTATTATTACTAGGAGCAAAAGAAGCTCAGTATTGTTTGCCAAGTTGGCATGACTCATAATGAAACTTAGAGATTTTATTTTTGATGAAAACAGAAGAAAATAAATGTCTAAGTAAAAAAAAGAGGGATGTCCTAGACGCCTATGCCACAGCCATAAATCTTCCGGGGTGGATGGAGACTGGATAGAATGATGAGTCCGTTGGTTATTTTGATCTAAGGTATAGAGATCATTTTCTGTTCTACCACTGCCAATCATCTTCTTCGTGATAAAGTCTTGAAAAAGATAAAAATCAAGAAAAAAAAGTTACTCTACAATTCAAATCTTGAGTTAGACTACTCAATGACAATAGGTTAACAGAAAAATTAAGAACATGTAAAACAGAAGACAAAGGTAGGGAATGAGTGGCATAGATTAAACCTTTCTTGGAGACAGAGGAAATAGTATCATCTACAATCCTAACTTTATCCTGACCGAAGGCTGGGGTATATATAGTCTGAGAAGAGATCAGAAGACCCAGACATATGATCTGAGGCACCAGAATCAATAATCCAAGGCAAGGCCTTATGGGGTTAAGAAAGCACTAGAAGATGAGGCTAAGTTACCTGAACGAGCAAACGAAGAAGAAGCAGAAGATGCACCTGGAAGAACAGGAGACCGGCAATCAAGCAAAGTGCACAGAGCATCCTTAAACTCAGAGGATGACATACCAGAGAGTCCCTCAAACGTCTGCCTAACCGAAGCTGAATCATGTATCTCTATAGTACTGGATTGATGAGCCCGAGAGTGGGATCTACGTCCTCTTGCCTGACTAGAACGACCGCCTCTATGACCAAAGCGATCTCCTCGGCCCCCTGATGGAGTCCCATGAAAGTTTCATGGGTATGCCTCGGTCGGCGACAGTAATCACAGAACAAACTATCCTTCCTAGAAGGATGAGAAGACAGAAGTGGCAAACCAGCCCTATCTCGAGAAGGTGCAGAAAGTAATGCTGAACGGTCTGTAGAAGTCGGAGGTAACATAACAGAACGACGACTTTCTTTATTCTGGACATAAGCAAAGGCCTCCTGAAGAGATGAAAGAATATCTGTACCAAAGACACAACTCCAGACCGGATCAAACTCCACATTGATGCCTTCTAAAAACTTGAAGACCCTCTCCTGTGCAAGAAATTTTTGATAACCAACTGAATCGATGGTGCAGACAGGCTTGTAATCCAGGAGATGATCTAGGCGTTTCCAACTATTGTTAAAAAAGGTGTAATACTGAGGAACTGTCTGCTCCCCTGAACTGAGCTCTCAATAGACCGGTGCAACTCAAATGACTGAGAAAAATTTCCCTTGCGGGAATATGTAACAGCGACTGCCTCCCAAACATCTTGGGCAATTTCCATAGATAAATAACCTTCTCCAATCTCTGGAACCATGGAATCCACCCATGATCAAAGAGTTGGTAATCTTCCATTGATCATAGCCAGGATCAGTAATACTAGGTGCTTGAATTCTTCCATATATATATCCCATCTTCCCTCTACTCTTCATGAAAAGTGTCAGACATTAAGACCATGCAAGATAATTCTGACGATTAAACAGAAAGGTGGTGATTTTTAGGTTAGGGTTCTCAGAAGTAGTAGTCATAACTGGACTGGGACTCACGCCTTTAGCTGGGTGAGAAGTAGTGGATTCACTAGATGGGTCTGCCATGTCCATGCTACTAACTTAACCAAAAAACACAGCACTAATCACAATAATGGGAAGAGGGAATGGAATAAGCAAGCAATCTCAAACACAGATCACAATGGGAGCATAACACTCAAATTAATGGGGCCATTTATCATCCCAAAAATTAAATAAAACAATAAAAGGTAAAGCTTCAATCAAAATAGCAGTCCTGGTGACCTAATCACAAGTTTAAAATTCTGTACCGAAGAGAATGAGAATAAAAAAATTTAAAAAAAAAAGCAGTCAGACCATAGGTTCCTATATCAACCTATCGAAGTTGTATGAAGATGAGAGAGTGACCAGACAAGCTAGTCGATGTCGCACAACAACCAGTTTGACTTGGGTCGAAGCACGAAGCGAAGTCAAATGACCTAGGGTGAATCACAAACCAACCAGAGGCCTGGGAGACAAGCGATGAAGATCAAAAGGACTCTGACGAGTGTCGCGATCCCTCCTAGGGCATGAGGAGCAGCCGAAAAACTGGTACAATGAATCGTAGGAGATAGTTAGACACTGAAATTGATTAGGTTGTAGTCGGTGCTCTTTGATTGGTGTTGGGTGATGATGAGACAATGATGGGTGCTAGGTTTAGAACCCTAAGGCTCTGATACCATGATTGATTTGAGGTTTAATCGATGTTGAGAGTGATACTGATATCACTCCCTTCATATAAATCAACCAACAGTTACAAAGAGAGCCTAAAGGCACTAATCAAGGAATTACACTGATTAAGGAATTACGGAATAATCTAACTAAGGAAACAAATAACAAGAAGATTCTAACATATATTCTAACATTCATCGTTATCTTTTCCTTTTGATTTAAGTAGAAAGAAAAGAATAAAAGCTTTTGATGTACCAATGAATTATTGATATATTATTTGTAACATCAATGGAGAAAGGTGTTTTCTTGTGATTTGTGTTCTTTCCTTTCAAGATCTTCTGATACACTTGAAGATAAGTTCATTACAATGCATGTAGACTCCCTGATTTGAGTTTCATTGCAGATGGTTTAGTGGAGTAGGTTTAAGTGGGTGAAGTAGGTGGAGAGTAGGTGGATTTTAACAGAAACAAATAATAAGAAGATTCTAACATATATTCTAACATTCATCATTATCTTTTCCTTTTGATTTAAGTAGAAAGAAAAGAATAAAAGCTTTTGATGTACCAATGAATTAATGATATATTATTTGTAACATCAATTGAGAAAGGTGTTTTCTTGTGATTTGTGTTCTTTCCTTTCAAGATCTTCTGATACACTTGAAGATAAGTTCATTACAATGCATGTAGACTCCCTGATTTGAGTTTCATTGCAGATTCCTGCGTTTTAGTATAATTAACTATACAGAATCTATTACATTGGATATGTCTCGTGTTTATATTTTGCTTTTGGGGCTTTATAAATTTGATTTCCAATCTTCATTCTTTGTTGACTATTTCTTTTTCCTTTTCATGTGAGCTTTCTGATTCATAATAATGTGTCATTTCTCTTGCTATATTTTTTTGGTTTTAGTTCTTTGCTGAATTCAACTCAAAGCTATTGGAGTCTAGCAATTACATCACCAGAAGACAGGCTGTCAAGGTATGGGAGTTGTTTGAGACTTTTATTTGTTTCTTTACGCAAAACTAATTACAAATAAAGTTGTGATTGTAGTAATCTCATCTTTTACGGTTTTTCCATATATTTTTCTTTATGAGAGAACTTTATAGTTTATACCATGATTGTTAAAATTGAGATCCTACATGGGATCAATGATCCTACATGGGATCAATGAGAGGGTCTTGTGGATTAGAATGTAGAATTGGATCAAGCATTGTAAGATTCTTAAAAAGCATCACTAATGATGGTGTACATTAAAATAAGGTGAAAATCACAAGCCCAACGATCCTACTTGCAATCCTAAATGTTCCTACCTATCCTACTTGTGATTATGCTATAATATTGATTTTACTCCGATTTGGATGGTTCTGGAAATCTAAGATTGTATGATCCTCCGATATGACATGATTCTTAATCATAATTTTCTACGTAAAATGAGTGCTCATGCATGTGTCCAGAAAACATCCCAGTGATTGCCATAAAATGAGTGCTCATGCCTTTTACTGAGGCATCATTGCATTCCTCTTGATTTTCTCTTTCTTGTGACAATTGTGATTTGGTATCCATGGGTCCATTTTTTTTTAATTACAGTAACTTTTATGGCAATTGTTTTACTGGCAAGTTTCGTTTTGTTTCCAGCTATTGGGAGATATTTTACTCGACCGTTCAAATTCTGCTGCTATGATGCGCTATGTGAACTCAAAGGATAACTTGAGGATTTTAATGAATCTTTTGAGGGTATGTTGGTCTTATACATATATATATATATATATATCGTATATTACTGTTCTATGATTCTTGGTCCAAGATTTTGTTTACTGGCTGATAATATGTAGCTTAAAATGATATTTAGATACCAACTTGTGTAACCATTTGTACAAATCTTGGAAAAATTGTGTGACATCATATTTTGTAGCTGTGGAGCTAAGGAAGTGATATGTGCTGCGACTTGCTTATATTCTCATTGTGAGCTCTAAGCTTGGCATTGTGTGGGAATGGGAATCTTTTATTTTGCTTTCTGTGGACTATTTTGAATGTGATACACAAATATTGTTCATCTTAGGCCTCCTTTTATTGGCCAATTAAATTGTAGGACAAGAAAAAAGCAGCTTGGAATTTACAAAAGCTTAAACAAACGACATCCTAAACTAATCAAACCAAAACAAACTAAACTAAGCCTTGTCTCTCAAATAAGGGCTCAATCAAGTGTGGTTGAGTATGTGATAGTGAAATCCTTTTTGGCCATTTTGCTCTGTCAAAGGCTGTATGTTCAGTTAAAATTAAAACAAATTTATATATTTTTCTAATAGAGCATTCTATGTCAGTTTAGATATTTTCCTTCTCATAGACGCCCCACTTTTCTTGAGTTTCCTCAGTAATTAAACAGAGCAATGCATTGTTTTGGTGTATAAAATTGGTGATTTTCATGGTTGCAGGAGTCGAGCAAGAACATTCAGATAGATGCATTTCATGTCTTCAAGGTCTTGTTTCAAATATTTAGTACCATTGCTAAACTTGTTGTGAACATAAATTTTGCTTTATTTGTTCATTGATTTGTTAATTAATTAATTTTTTGTTTTTTATTAATTTCCGCCAGCTATTTGCTGCTAACCAAAATAAGGCCCCTGATATCGTCAACGTACTTATTGCCAATAGAAGCAAGCTTTTGCGATTCTTTAGTGGCTTCATGATTGATAAAGGTGGTACATTTTTACAATTAATCAATCATTTTATTAACTAAAAACTTCGTTTGGGAAGTTTGAAATGAAATTCAGATTTGAATATGGTTTGTTGCAGAGGATGAACAGTTTGAAGCAGACAAAGCTCAAGTTGTGAAAGTAATTTCTGAATTGGAACCCTAAGTTGCGGAGCGAACGGTTGTAGAAAACATATACAACTTGTAAAGTATTGGTTGATTATTATAAACATCCATTTCTGTAATTAATAAATGATAGTGATTGTATAGAGTAACTTGTTTATATTCTTCCAATATTGGGGGGAAAAAAAAAGGTACAGATAGATATGCATCTATATATATCATGCCATTTTTTTTACTGGGAATATCTTCGTTCTTTTTCTCTCCCTTTTTTTTTTCTTTTTCTTTTTTTTTTTTGTTGGCTGTGTTGTTTGTCTGGATTATGAAGGATGATTTATTTATTTATTTTTAATTTTCAAATTGAGGTTCATTATTTGTCGCCTGTAAGAATCAAATGCATAGCGGATAGTTTTATTTTTTGGTAACTCGGTATTCTGAGTTTTTTTTTTTTAATATTCTGAAAAAAGAGAACTATTTAGACAATTGACTCACTTTTTAAATTATTTGGGAAATTAACCAATTTTTTAAATTGCATTTTTAAAATGCAATTTTGAAATTGAAATTACATTTTCAACATGCAATTTCACCATGTCATCATAAATTGTATTTTCAACTTGTAATTTCAATTGCGTGTTAAAAATGTAATTTTAATTTCAAAATCGTATTTTTAAAATGCGATTTCAAAAAGTAGATTAGTTTTCTAAATAGTTTAAAAAGTGAGTCAATTTTCTAAATAATTTTTTTTTAAAAATATTTTTAAAAAAAACTCCGGTATTCCACCCATTGAACTGGTTAATTCAAGGGACTAATCTTACCATCCATTAATAGGATGTCCAATTTAAGGGGTTGTTTAAGATAAACTAAATATGTGTACTTTTTGATTTTTTATGAAATATGAGTTGGGTATGGGTTGGGTTTGAAGTGATGTGGTAGAAAAATAATGTGACTTAAATAAATGATATGACTTAAATAGGATAGTAATTTTTTTAATTTTTTAACTTTTTTTTATTATGTCAAACTAAGCCTAAGTCAGAGTTATGCCTTGTATAGACTAATTTTAAGAAATTAGTTGCACTTAGTAAGTTTTGTAATTTTTTCCTTAAAATAAAATAAAAAATAAAAAAAAAAGAAGAAGAAGAAGAAGAAAAGTAAGTTTTGTAATATAAGTTAAGTTCATATGAAAAAATGTTATAGAATTTTAAGTTAATTATATTTTTCATTTTTGTAATTTTATTTAAATTTTATTGAAGTGCTTATTATTTTAATTTAAATAATTTAATTTCTACACGATTTGTTTAAATATTCTACACTTCAAGATTTGTTTAAGGCCTCGTTTGGCAAGAGGCTATTTTAGCCAATTAGTCAAAAAGTTACTAAATTAGTCAAAAAGCCAACAACCCATACCAAAAAGTCAAACATTCTCTTTTCTCTCTACTTTTTGCACATCTTTTCGTAATTAGCCAAAAAGTCATTCTAAACATACAAGTTTTTTTTACCTACCTTTTAACCAAATAGCTAAAAGTTACTAAATTAATCTGTTCCCAAACGAGGCCTAAGTATATACATTAGAAAATTGTTGAATATTTCAAAATTATTAATTTCAACGTCTAATTTGAACGATCAAATTGAAATTATAGAAGATGAAGTTAAAAGAACACAGTGATTTTGGTCTAGTCTAAAATCGGATTGGACCGTGTTGTTGGGCCTATAGAGGTTTACTATGGGTCTTGTTTTGATAATCCGAACCGTTCAATATGTAGAACTCGTCGAGTACTATATACCTGTAAAAAATCACGTTGATCGGATATCGATAGCTATGTGAACAAAACAGTTTTTTATCAATCGTTAATTGTTTCACCGTTCATTTTTTTTTATACAAAACTGATTTGATCACATAGTTATTGATATCCGATAAACGTGATTTTTTACAAGCATGTAGTACTCGACGAGTTCTATACATTAAACGATTCAGATTATCAAAACGGGCCCAAAAAATAAACTCCACGAATCAAATTAGATGGGTCGAGTCTTGATCTCAACTTGAGACAAGCTGGACCCTTAAAAAATTATTGTCAAAATCTGAATTTGCTTGAAGAATAACACACTATTGAGAGATTCTCTTTGCTTTTGATACAATTTCGCAATTTCTCTCTCTCTCTTTCTCTCTCTCTCAGACCCTCAAATGTATATATATAGATTGGTCTTCGCATGTTTGGCAATCGCAAGCAAAGACGCACGAGCACTGGAATCGAATCTGTTTCATCATTGATGTAAGCTTTATAGCAACTTCACCTTTCTCCGAGCTATATATATATATATATGTATCCAATATAATCATTATCATTATTGTGGACGAGCATGATTAAATTTAGGCGAGTATGATAGATGCCTATGATATGTTCGATGAAATTCCTGACTTACTGCACTGTGCTGTTGTGTTTCTATAGTATATTTTGAAACATGGACAGAATCGTATATTAGGCAAGTACGAGCTGTTGGGATTTTGAATTCATCAATTAGCTCTTGACATAGTATTTCAAATGAGCCAATTTTTTGTTTTGTTTAGTATTCGAAACCTAAATTAAGTATCTACTTTCAGGGGTTTGAGTTCTTGAAATGGCCCAGGAGCCAAGTCTATTCTTGTCAAAATTGGGAATTTGGGATTATCCTAGGTGGATACCATATCATTATTACTTGAGAAATGCTAGAGACTCACACTTCTAAACCTACAAATTCACATTGGACTCTATATCATAGGTGTTAACAAATCAAAAGTTGATATCTGTCATTCCACGTCATTGTGGGAGTTTTTTGAGGGTCTCAAACATTTTTGTTATTAGTTTGCATTGTTCATTGTTTCATAAATAACTTTATTTTAGAACTTTTATTGGCAATCTTATCCGTCTTATGACTTCTTGGTATTTCAAAGACGTTTTATTTGAAAATAGTATAGAACAGTGAGAAGATTTGCTCCACTAGTTGTGTAAATGAAGTTCTGTTCATCTAATCTAAGATTTTGAGTATAGGTAAATATGTCATATACATCTTGCATGCAAGTTTCATACAGTCAATTTTATGTGTGCGTGCATGAGGCACGTGTGCATTTACATGTTCTAAGATGTTAGTTGAATTGATCTTAATGGTTTTTTCGTAATAACATCTACTCTTATACATGTATATGGGATGGTTTTTGTACTAGTTCTTTAATCGACTTTGCTTGGTAGTGCCCTTGAATTGTGATTAGATGGTTTCCTGCTTTCCCTCAACGCCTAAGAAGTTGGCACAGACTGTAGTGTTCTTCCTTGCTGGTGCCTCTCTGTTTGCTGTCGGGGTGCATCTTTCGTATGTTAATATTGCACCTCAACAAGCTCGGACCAAAGCTCGTAATGATTTTGTTAAAGAGAGATTGAGACAGAAATATGGAGAGAAATATGGCAAGTAATCAAAATGTGCATGCTTGCTTGCTTGCTGCTCTAGGTACGCTTGAAATTAATGACCGCCTTGCCAATTAATTGGATGTTCTTATAGTTTGCATGGTTCTATTCCATACAGTTATTGAACTTCATGAAGAATTGACTGCCATTAAAAGAAAACCACTGTGATTTTAGATTGGAATCTTTTTGTAATTATTGTCGTTAAGAATTATGCATGTCTCCTCTCTATGGGTTGAACATTTGTCTTCGAGTTGATAACTTGCTAATGTTTGAGTATGCTTGTGTCAGTGCAAAATTTAGTCATGAAATTTTTTTTGAGTGCTATAGCACCTCACTTTTTTTTGGGACTTTCACCCCTTCATTTTTTCAATTACAGTTTTTCCTCAACATAAAATTCCAGTTTTGTCCCCATCCCTAACTTCCCAAACCTGACCCCTACCTCCCATCCCCACCCACCAACACCAACACCAACTCCAACCACCCTCATCTGCTCCTCACTGTCACCTTCCCGCCCACCCACCCCTGCCCTAATCTCTCTCTCCTCTTCTCTCTCTCTCTCTCTCTCTCATTGTGAGTGAAGGGGTGTGGGCTGGTGGGTGGGTGGCAACGAGGAGGGGCTATTGACGGTGGGGTAGCGGGTGGCGGGACGGGCCACCAAAGGTGTAGCGTGACAAGGAGGGTCAGGGCAGGCTAGGAAAGGGGTTGCAGGAGGTGGGGGTTGGCAGGGAGGGGATTGTCAAAGTAAAGGATGGCAGGGTGGGGTTCCAAAGAAGTTGGGGTACAGTTAGAATTATGGTGGATGTTCGAAGGAGGAAAAAAAAATGGTGGGAAGTAATTTTGGAGGGTAGTGGGCCAAACGCAAATCGTAGCACTCCAAAAATTTATCCTTAAATTATTATTATTATTATTTTTTATTTTTTATTTTTTTTAGATCTACGGTATCGTCAATTGTCATATTGAAGACCATGCTCTCTCTGAGGATTGATGTCAATGTGTTTTAGATAAGGGGTGATGGAAACCTCCAATAACATTTCATTGATTAAATCACACAAAGTTCTCAAGGAGGGTAAAATACATTGAATTACATGGAGCACATGTAATCCATTTTGTAAAATGAGATCTGTAAGGATTGTTTTCTAAACTAGATTTCTATGATAGCACGAGAATTAACAGCTTCAAAATAAAGATTGAGCTATCTTGGCTCTCTTGAACTATCAATGGTGAGCTTTGAGCATAGCCAAGTTTTATACATATTTAAGTGTTCAATAGCTTATTGAATTGTGTTGAATCGGATCTCAATGAACAAACTTGGCTCATTTTGCCTCTCGAGGTGAAGCGGGTTGATCTCACAACCCTGGTTGTCTCTCTGCTACTGCAAAACTAAATAACTTTCTCATTATTAGATATCACATTGGTTACATACAGATACAAGGTTTTTGGGGCTTTGTCATTGCAGTCACTCCAGAACGTGATAGGAATGGGAAATGCGATGTTGTGCGAGTACCACCAGGTCAGGCATACAGTAGATTTCTATAGTGAGATTCAGCAAGTTTGAGCAAGCTTTATGTTCGTAATTAGCAGCTGGATTGTGGATATTTGCCATTGCCAGCTGCACACATACTGCCCTGTCTCAAGTTTTAAATAAAATTTGCAGCATCATGGTTGTGGTTATCATTATGACTTTATTTTCATGTAATTTGTAGACATACATGGAGAGCTAGGATTTAAGGTTCAGGGATTTTTTGAGCTGTGAGAATAATAATGATGATTGATCTTTGATGGCAACTGACTGCATTCAAACAATAGGCCATTTCTTTAGAACTTGCCGTAGATTTGCAAATGAGTTCTTTCCCCTTCCAGCAAACAGAAGTTTACTTGAGAACTAGCATATTACTATTTGCTGCCAACATCAAGCTTTGTTAGACCTCACACACAAGCCTATAGCACTTTGGCAGGTACTGGCACCAGTGGTAACAGTATATAACTGAATCGGTAATGGTTGTTTGGCATAGTAGAGTCAAGGCAATAACAAAGGTGGCTATAGGGTTGAATTGGTGGCTGTGGTGGTGTGGTGGGCACTGGCACCAATGATAAGTGTATTAACTGACAGAAGCAACAATGGTGGTCGTGTTTGGCATAGTTGAAAAGGCAGTAACAGGGGTGGTGGTTAGGGTTGAGTTTGATGGTTGTAGTAAATGGAGTTCTGTGTTGCACCATTTTGTATAGAAGAACATTGTGAGTGGTGGTGATGGCAGTAATGGTAGAGATGGTAAGAGTATCTGATTTCCCAGCAGACCCCAAAATAAGAGGCCTCTACGGACCTGTGCCACATGTAAATTTTTTATGGCACACAAAACATTTCACTGAAGTTAAGAATGTACTACCCCATCAAAATTTAAAATCACAAAAAACAAAAATGTAATGTTTGATATAATCACTAAACACATTCAATAGCATGAGAATAAACGTTAAAGCTTACTGTGTCAACTCAACCAATCTTCAGTACCATGCCTTGAGAATGAAAGGAAAAATAAGATTCTGAATTCTAAGATGAATTTCAGGTTTAAAAAGAACACTTCAAGCAGCAGCACCCTTTCCTTTCTTTCTCTGGGTCTTCTTCATGTAGAATTCCAGCTCTTTGCCCTCCAGTATATAGCTGTCAAAGCAATTTAAGCACCAAATTAGGTAAAAAGAAACCGATACCAAAAAGAGGATAAAAACAAACCACGAACAACTGTCTTGGAACATGGTCAAGGTTAACGTGTTAATATCAAATTGGAAAAATAAGGGCAAGGGATGATTACAGAACATATCAAACAATTAGTTAACCAACACTGAACATTTTAATATTTTTGAAATGAAAAGTGAACATCAGGAAGATTGTGGGTGATGGGGTAATTTTGCATACCCATCTGCACGGCCACACTGGCCAGGTCGGGATGCAATTGCAGCTAACAACCGGCCACTGCCAAATTGCTCTTCAATATGTGGGTCAAGCTTGCGTTCCTGTTGACGATTCTGCAGTTTTCTCTGGACATGCTTGCTCTTCTTTGTCTCTTCAGTAGCAGCATCACCCTCCTATGAGCCAATAAAAAGCAAGGAGCAAGGATTAAGATAATGAAGAGCTATTATTGATAGGATTCTTCAATGATTTCTAACAGATAATACTAAACATATCTAATATCTATCATATCGAAACACTCAAAACAAGTATCAATTGTTAAAAATAAGTAGAATCATTTGCCTTAAAAACCTTCTTCTAGTGACCCAATACACAAGAAGGACAAGAAACAAAGAAAAAGAATGCTTAGTTACATGTATTTTTTGTTCAATGTTTTCTGATTGAAGCAGAATTAGTTATTAATTTTTTTATTTTTTAAAAAAAAAATAAAAAAAAAGAACAATTCAAGCTGCATTATGGTCTCCCATAAGCATAGTACACAACTGATGCATGATATCATGACAGAACTAAGAAGTACACACTTCATAATATGAGTCACCCAATAGGTCTCAAGCACACTAATAATAATGATCAAACCACACTACAATGTTAAATTTTGTCCCAACCACCCTTCCCTCAGTCCAACTAATATTTTTTCAACTACAATTCATCCAAATTTTGGCCTTTGGTATTCATTTTGTTTGACATGGCAAGGTTTGGCATTTGTCAAAAATTTTGGTCAATCATTTGGCCATGCGTTGGAGATCAAGAAAAAGGGGGGCAAGCCAATACTTGCCTTTAGCAGCGGCCTTGGCAGTTGCATTGGAACAAAGGTGCCAAAATATAGCATTGTGGACACTGTAGCACGCTAAAATTTTGGCATTTGGATGGCTATTTTTTTTCCTTCAATGGAAATGCTCTAAAACTGCATTCCCACGTGGGGTGAAAAGGTGGGATTGGGAGGGCACACACTCCTATGATTCAACCACTAAATGACAAACTAAAACTATCACTTGCTCTACATCTACTGTTTATGACTATCAGCAACATAATCAATCATACATTCAAAATATCCAAAAACTTCTACACAGTAATGCAAATACAGCTTCAGGTAAATATGCAGCAGTGCTAGGACAGAGTCATGGTTACTTAAGAAAAAAAATCTGAAACAATAGCCAAAAACAAAAATTGCAACTCCAAGTCCCCAACTAGAATGAAGCACACAAATGACCAATAAAATGAAACACACTATCAATAAGGGTTAATACAAACTCTCACCTCTCCTTCCTTTTTGGCAGATGCAGAAGTTTTCTTCTTTCGACCAATGTCAACTCCATAATGCTGAAGATACCATTGCTTAAATGGAGCTGCATCAACCTGAACAATTGCACTTTTCACCAATGTTTGGGTTCGAACCAACTCATTATTTGATGCATTATAAACCACATCCAAAATTCTAGTCTTCCGCGTCACAGCCTCACTCCCCCAAGAGTAGTTTCCAGTATCCAACCTCAATGCACGCCACTTCACATTCCCACCACGAACTCTTATTCTCCGAACTGTCTTGTTGCTCGACAACTTGGTGTTAGCAGGTTGTCTTCCGAGCTCATACCTTAAAGGATAAAAAAAACACACTAATCATTTAATCATACATGAAAAGTAAAACTAGTGTCATACAATTAAATGATTGAGTTTTGAAGCTTCTGAAAATGGTGATAAGCATGAAAAAATGATGTACAGTTTTGAAAATTCTAACAATGCTCAGGTTATCAGCAATTAAAATTCTGAGACAAGGAAGTGATAATATAAATGAATCTAAGATGACTAAAATGCAGAAGATATGGAGAAACCAATCAATCAGAAACACAATCAAAATTCAAATTGGTCGATGGTTTGTTTATGTTGTAAACTCCAAATCATAAATACTAAAAAGTCTAAACCAAGTAGAGATTCAAATGATCACCACAAGCCCAATAACCAAACACAATAAAATGAGCCGCGTAAGTAAAAAATCAAAACCAAGTACAGAATCAAATGATCATCAGAAACCCAATAACCAAATACAATAAATGAGCCACTTAATCATATCATAAATACTAAAAATTCAAAACCAGGTAGAGATTCAAATGATCATCACAAACCCAATAACCAAACACAATAAATAAGCCACTTAATCATAAACACAAAAAAATCAAAACCAAGTAGAGATTCAACTAATCATCACAAACCCAATAACCAAATACAATAAACGAGCTGCGCAAAATTATAATTTTCGAAATTAAAATAATCAAAAAATCAACTGGATCAAATGAACATGAAATGACTAGGTTTTACAAAACACCCAATAAATCCCCCAGACCAAAACAAATCACAACCCATTACTTAGAGACTCGAAATGAATTTAAAAGGAGAATTACTTTCGCTTCTTCCTCCAAGCCTTCTTCTTGCCTCCAGTGGCACGCCTCTTGTGCATGGAATCACGCGAGATACCTGTAAAACATTAGGGTTTTCGAGGATTAACATCATGAAGAACATAATCCATAGATGAAAACAGTGAGAAAATAGATAGATACCCATTGTTGCAGACAATGAAGGATTCTAGGGTTTTCTCTGCTCTCCCGAGCCCTTGATTGCTTGGAGAGAGAAAGAGAGACGCAGTAAGTGTGATTTTATTCAAAACCCTAACTCGTAAAATTACTTTTGTGTCCTCAGGCATTAGTTAGAAAGATCAAATTTCGGGCTTGGGTCTTGGCAGTCAATGAACATGGGCTGTGATGTGAACAACTCGAGCCCAACCCTTTTGTTCAAGTTTGGTATATGTAAAAATTTTTATTTCAACAATGATAGAGATCACTAATTTTGGAGCTCTAAAAAGACCACTAATGACATGGTACTCAATAAAAAAAGAAAAAAAATACAACACCAAGGCCAAAACATCAAATCATTCATGGTGAGGCCCACTGCCACATCATTAGTGATAGCACTAATTAGTGCTCTCACTCATTTTCCTTTTTATTTTTTGGGTTTTCAAAAATAAATAAAAAGGCATTGAAAATTTTGAAAACAAAATAATGTTTTTGTTTTTTGTGAGGAAAACAAATTTCAAAAATTGTATTAAAAAAAAAACAAAAAGTGAAAATTGCATGTTTTCAAAATATTTCTCTAAAATATTTTTTCCAATAAAATAAACCAAACAAATTTCTTCAGTCTTTAAATTAAAAAAAATAAAAATAAATGTGATCTAATTTTTTTACATGGATGGTATCCTCAGAAGTCTTATAATATGAACATTTCAAATTATCAAAGTGGATTACGTGACCAAGGCCCAATAACATAATCCAGTTCAATTTGAGATAATCTTGTTCCTTACAATAAATAGCTTTTGGAAGAAGAGTAAATCTAAATGCAGAAATGATTTTTTAAGAATGAGACACGTATGACCATACCACTCTGTGAAAATCTTGTGTATTCATAGTGCAACTGTTAGGAAAAATATACAGCAAAATTTATTGGGATGTACATAGCATAATGTGCAATAGTGGAACAACATTCCAGGGGCATCATTTTTAGCTCACATTTTTCTTTCTTTTATTGAAATAATGTGCATGTTATTTGACACTGACAGTGACGTGCCTGCATAATTGGTAATCAGTGATTGGGATAATTATATTCACACTTGGCTTAAAGTCTTCAGGAGTCCAGGTACCAAATCATTCTTTAACATGGTATACATACATATATTCAAGCATACATATAAACTGAATGTTGGATTATAGTTAGGGTGAGTGATGGGAAAGGAGAGGCAAAGGAAAGCTATAATCTGCTAAAATTATCGAAACAAAATGCTCAAGAGCCCCAAATGGGAATGAGAAACACATCTTTATTATCAGCAATTACTTAACAAGTGAATGAAAGAACTCTCAATCCCATAAGATAAGTGATGCACACAGACAAAGCAAATACAAACAAGAAAATAGACTAAAAAGTGCTAATGTATGAAATTTCACTAGTGCTTTGGACCCAAGTAGGGTCTGATGCAAATCCAATATTGGAAGCAATGTCAGACAGAGAGAATCAGTAATGATCTTGGTATATTGCGCCGAATTCTTCTCGCCATGCCTGGTCATCATCAGGCAGTGAGGTAGTGTTCTGTGCTATATCAGAATCTTCTCGATATAGAGGTCGAAGTGCAGATTCTGGCAACCGGCTCTCTTGAAGGTATTGTTTCATGGTGATCATTTCCATCTTGTGCTTTCTTTTCAGCTTATCCACTTACTTTTTTAGCTTCTCATTCTCTTCCTGAACCTTTGTGAAGTTCTCCTGCACAAGGTCAGTTGTCTTTCATCACTTCACAAAATTATAATCAAGAAGAATCATTTGAATGCTTGGATCCCCTTTCTGCAATAAAAAGAGTTATGTCGTGTTAAGGGTCTCTTGAATTCGACCTCTTGAATTCGACCCATTGTCCTCCTGGGTCTATTTTTGACCAAGTTGCTACTTTTGGATCCTTGTATATTATTGAGTTATCTTGGGATTCTAGGGTATGATCTTCTGTGTTTTTGTAGATGATTGTGGGAGAGAAAAAGTATGCTAATTATACTTTACACGTATAGTGAAGCTCCCTCATCGTTCTTCATCCGTGGACGTAGGCTTATAAATGAACATTTACAGTGAAAATCCTTGGGTGCTTGTGTATTTGTTCTATTTTAGCTTTTCTCATATTTGCCTTTGCCATAACATGCCAGATATGATTATGCGGAAAAACACATTACCTCACTGTTTCCTTTGTTCAGATATGGACGTTGTACAAACTAAATCTATATGCAGATAGAAAAAGAAATATGATAAGGAATATTACCTCTGCAACTGAAGCAGCTTCCTCGGCTTCTTTCAGCCTAACAAGGAGTTCTCCAGCAGCATGAACAGCTTCTGCAGTGTCTCTAAGTTGAATTTTAAGACTTCTGTTCTCCTTTCTCAAAAAGTCCATCTCCTTTGCCCTCTCCACTCTCAGGGCTGAAAGCTCCGCCGCCATAGACTTTGCAAAACGTGAGCCACGACTCTTTGCTCCAGCTTTTGCAGCTGCCTTTTTAATCTCAGCAACCCCTTCCATAATCAGCCGGTGCTTTGCAGCCAAGTCGTTGTACTTTTCCTGTAAATCAACGTAGTGTTCGACCATTCTAGCGTGCCCAAGAACAGACCTATGAAGTGCATCATCCAACTCCTCAGTGCACTTCTTCTCTAGTCTCAATTCCATCTCAACCTTCTCTGCATGCTGGCGGTTAGATTCAAGATCTACTCTTAACTCATCGGTCAGAGAAATCCAATCACTTTCCATTTCCATCCATCGCTGTCTTTCTTTCTCAAGTTCTTCTTCGCTGTTACCTTGAGAGAATGCACCACTTTTTCTCATCTGGATTGACTGTGACAACAAAGAGGATCTCACTCTCTCATAAGACTTTTTTGAAGGTCCATCAGTATACGACTGCAACTTGCTCCTTAGGATTTGAATTTCATTGAGAAGTGCTTCCTTCTCATCCTTATCAAAGGATGTGTTACTGAACTTTTGATCCAACTCTTCCCTGACTTCTTTTATTTCACATTTTTCCTTTATCATCTCTTCATCGTGATTCTCATCGTCATCCCATCTGAGAAGCTGATAAAACAACCGGGAATGTATAAGAACAATGGAATTAGAACTTTAAAAAAAAAAATTTATTTAAAAATATGACAATAATAGACATGGTCTGCTTGATGCTCACAAAAGAGAAGTGCAAGACAACGACTAACCTTGCTTTCATCCACAAGTGGACGAAAATTTTCATTTTTGAGCTCATCAATATGTGTTAATTTGTTCTGTGAGTCCTCACAATGAGTATTACTATGTTCAACAATAGCATTTTGTTTTATGTTGTTTTTGTATTGCTCCACCTGCATAATTTCAGATTATTAGTACAGTGTAAAGTCCTGATTAAATCTCCATCTTCTTACAGAGGACAAGAAATAACCACCAGAAGATTTAGCTGATCGATTTTGGCTGCTTGTTCCATACAAATATTTTCCAGCTCCTTCTCTCTCCTGATGGCTTCTGCCAAATCTTTCCCCACATCCTACAGATAAAAGAAATAGAACATGTGACTTAAAGAGGTTCACATAAAACAAATAATGTAACAAACATGCTTTTTAAAGCTATAGTAACTTGAATCTAAACATACTTTTGGAGCTTGAGCAGATGTTCCATTTGAATTCCCTTCATCATCCACTGTTTCGAGGCATCTTCTCTGGCATGATGCACACAGAAAAGAAGCAGAAGATCCATCTGAAGATGGTCTCTCTTCCGGTAATGTTTGAACAGAATCGTTGGCTTTGTCAACTGTTGAACATGGTTTTAATGCTAAGTGTTCAAAAGAGAAAGCAAGTGAAGATTTATTTGATGTTGAATTCTGCTGGTGAGAGTCAATTATCTGTAAACCTCTCTGAAGGCTAGCAGCCAGGGACTCTGTGGGGCCAGGAAATATCTTGCTTGACCGCAATGATGATCGAATGTGATCAATTGATTTGTGCGACTGTCGTAATGCACCTGAATCGAACTTGGAACTCTCTGAAACAATATTCTCACTTGCCAGAAGAGTCGATGATGCAAAGATTATGCTTTTCCTTTGGTTATTTCCAATTTTTGGAGACTCAGACAATGCTGGTTCTTGCAGTGCTAGAGAGTGCAGAGATGAATTGATTGATATGCTTCTCCTGAATGCAGTATCTACGGTCCTTGAAGTGTTGGGCTCACTTGGAAAGTTATCAACAGATGAAACGCTCGCTTCCGGTCGAAGCTCAGTCCTAGATTTTTCCAAACTTGTTTCTTCTATTTCACCTTCTTCTAGGCAGCTTCCGTAATATTCACTTGTGAAGTCTGTATCATAACTTTCTTCTACAGAAGAAAACTGAATGCTGTGTTTGTTGTCATCAACATCTTTTGTATTCTCTTCACAAGAACTGTGCAAATTGTCTAGCTGAACACGTAGTTCTCTTACATCGTCCTCATTAACAATTACTTCCTCATTGCATTCATTATCTAAGTGGGGCAAGATCAAGGAGCGATTAAGGCTCAATCTCAATTGATTCAAGCTTTCACGTACACTTCTACTTTTAGTGTATCCATAGTTACTTCCCATCGAGTTATATTCACTTGACTTTGCTCTTATAAGTTCTTCCTGCAATCAACAAATCACTCATCATCATCATCTCAATATAGCCATCAATTTCACAATGCATTGTCCAATAAAAGTACCTTCAATTGACGAATCTGGTCACTCAGGTCATTAACATCATCCTCTGATATTTCATTTATTACTGGCTCGTTGCGTATAGATTTTACTCGCTGCCCAAATCTGAGTGTGCTCAATGTTTCACAATTACTCCTACATTCAAGTATAGAACAGAAATGATAATTTTTCAACTTCAAGAAGAAAACAAATAAACAGACGGGAAAGAAGCAGTAGATTTCAGGCAAGTCTCAGTAGAATGATATCAAAGTTGATTACTTGTGATCTGGGGAGATGGAACATATAACTGCCAGCCTGACATTTCCACCAAGTGATTCTTTCAACAAATGCGTTAATCTGGAGCTTCTGTAAGGAACAACTTCGGGTTTTCCTGACTTAGTTCCTTCAGCAAGGATATTCACTAAGTGCCTGCACCATTCATAGAGAACCGTAACTACAAAGAAGCAGCAGCTAAACTCAAACAGTGGCTAATTCACCCATAGATAAAGGGATCAACCATTAACAGTGATTGCTTATCTCAAGAAATATATTGTTGATTTGAGTAGTCTCATTATAGTCGGAGTGATGTTTTATTTTTGATTCATGAGTAAAGAGGAAGTCATAAAAGGACAAGCACCCTAAGTCGCTTCAGATAGATACCGAAAGGATTCACATACCCATCTCAAAATAGGAAGGACTTATCATGATATCACATTTTGAATGTCAAAGATTTACAAATTACAATTTCAAGCTTAAAGAGTTGTTAACAAGAAGAAATGTCTAGGTGGATAGCAACTAGCAATAACAATAAGTATATATATATAAACTTCATTGCATCATACCCCAACTGTGATAGAGACTTCTTCACACTTTTTTCTTTCTTTACACACTGCCTACCATCATCATCAAGCTTATTCCTCTCCAGTCCAGCAAGATCAACAAGGCTGATTCTGCTCGTTTTTGAACTACCAAAACATGTTGATGATGTTCCCTGCGGCAAGCATTTTCCCACCAAATGATGAGAAGAAAAAAAAAAGTGGAGATTATTTGAAGCAAATGGTTAAAAAAGCACAAGAAAATACTCCTAGGAAAAAATAGAAAGACTTCACTGAAAACAAAATAGAAGTGTAGATTATTATCACAATGATGATAACAAATCTTCACACTCATGATATATTAACTTCATACCTAAAGTGATATTCAACAGACTTAATAAATGAACAATTTTGTTCTAAATTTAAACTGAAAAATGCTGTGTATTCTAGCAAAATGTCATCGCACAGAGAGCCAAACACAACCAAGAAAACATTTTACTGCAGATAATTATAATAGTAATTGATAATTGATAGCAATTTGTAAACTTCAGTGTTCTGTCATACCTTGGACCATGACTCAATGACACATGTAAACACAATATGGGAGCGTGAACTTTTTGAATTTATGCTTGTTGCCCCAACCTTCCTACTTGATAGTCCCTGCACCAAACAGAAATAGAAGTTAACAAGTATGAAATAAAATCTGTAAGGAATACAGCGAGAAGCCCCTGTGCCAATAAAGTGGGTGTTTGGGAAGTGGGTTTTTTTGTAGGTTTTTTTAGTTGTAGGATATTATTGAAGAAATTTTTTTTTTGTGTTTGAGAAGATAGTTGGGTATTTTTGTGGTTGGATGTGATGTTTGCGAGAAAAAAAGTGAAATGATTATGGGGTTTGATGTGATATTTTGTTTGGATTTGTTTTTTTTGGTTTTGTAACCAATTTGGCTTTTAGTGAAAAAAAACTATAAAAAACCAAAAAAAATCTTTTCCAAACACCGCCAATTCAATAAACTACAAAAAACATGTTCATGTTTAACGGGGAAAAAAAAGAAGAAGAAAAAAGAACAGAATTGGAATCCATTGTTATTACTTACCTTAATCAAAATTTGGGTTATATCGTCATAGTTGGTAACGTATTCCTCAGTCAAATTCTCAACATAAAATCCATGTTTAGCATCGTCCTTTATCTATGACAGTTCAACCAAACTCATCATCAAGAACAAATCAAAGTAATGCAAAAGGTATTGGCCAAAAAAATACTCTCATGAAAAGGATAATACCCACCTCTAGGTTTCGCTGGGTTGGATCGAGTAAATCGCCAATTTGTTCATTGTATATCTGTGACAACAAATCAAAAAACATCATAAGCCTTCCAACATTTAAAGCAAAATGCCGTACAGCATTCATAAACAGTTAAAAAACACAAACCTCAAGGAATGAACACCGGCACTGATAATTTATCTGTTTACCATCTGAGTTCTCTTGCTCCTACATCAAATACAAAACAGACATCAAGTGATCAGAACATAACATCCCTCATGTTTCTCTTTTGAATAGATTAAGAAACAGAACATACTTGCTGAATCTCAGAGAACAACATCTGAAAGATGCGTGGGACAATGCCCTGATGAGTATTGGCCAAGTGACTATCAACCATTGCACTTGGTGGACCCCACATTGTGTAAGTCTTGCCACTTCCAGTCTATTAAAAAACTCACCAAATGTTAATTCAAAGAAAAATATACAATCAAATGAATCAATTGTTCACAACATAGTCTAGAAATACCTGTCCATATGCCAAAATTGATGTGTTGTAACCCGCTAATGCGTTTTTAACCAAAGGAACGCCAACTAACTGAAATACATCCTCCTGGTAGAAACCAAACATCACTTGATAATCAAAATGCTCCTATTCATCATCATTGCAAAATTGTATCTTCAAATTTTATCTATTCTAAAATTACATATACACTTTCAACTATCACTATATCACTTAATCCAATCAACTTCAAAACCGTAAATGTACAAATGAAAATGATGAAATCTTATAGTTGAACGGTCCAAATATACGGTTTTAAAATTGAGTGGTAAAATGATATTGAGTAATAGTTGACAGGTGTACGTGTAATTAACCCATATTTATTTTAGCAAAACAAACAAATTGTCAAGAGATGCTCAAATTTCATTTTTGATTTGCTCAGTATTCTACACAACCAAATAGAGGAAAAATAAAATAAAATCATAAACTGGAAGTACTGAACACATAGAAATGTGGGAATTGAATTGAAACCTGGTTTGATTTCACATCAAGAACCGAATCAAAGGTAAACTTTCTATCCCCAACAGCTACTGAATCATCAGAAACCTTCCTAACCGCCGGATCTCCTTCTCTTTCATGACCATTTACCGGTCTAATCCTTACTACAACCTAAAACCCACAAAATTATTAGTGAAATAAACCTTAAAATTCGAAGAAATTCAAATGGGTGATTTTGCTGTACCTTGACTGGTGGATCTGAGGGTGCTATTGCATCTCTCTGAGTGTCCGATCTGGTGATTTGTTTCTGTGAAATTGATGGGTTTGACAGTGACTGTTTGGGGATCGAAGGTGAGATTGCGTATTTGTCTACTTCAATGTTTGGATCGATCGGAGGGGTGTTTTCACTGTCAAGCCTCGATTTTGTTCGAGTTGGGTTCGTCTTGCGCTTCGTAGAGGTCGATCTGGGAAGGAGTTTTCGGATCGACGAGGCTGAGATGCTTCCCAAGAATCGATTATCTGACATCTCTGCGTTCGATTTCATGATCTCTTCAGAGAGAGAGAGAGAGAGATGTGTATGCAGAGAGAGAGAGAAAGAGAGAAGAGAGCCTTCAATTCAAATGCTGGTGAAGAGGGAGCGTTTTGGGAGGGACGATGAGTTGATGACCGTTGAGAAATAGGTTTTGTACGCCCCGTTAGGGTGGGTGTGAAAATTTGAATTTCTTATGGAGTGACTAAAATGCCCTTAGCCTTTAGTTTGGATGACTAAAAACTCGTTTTGAGAACAAGCTTTTTTAGTAACTTTTTAATTTTTTGACTAAAATATGATGTAAAAAAAATTAATATGTTTAGGATGAATTTTTGACTTTTTATAAAAAAATATACAAAAAGTAGAAAGAAAAAAGAATTTTTAACTTTTTGACTTTTTGACTAAAAATGAGGGTTCCCAAACGAGGCCTTAATTTACACCAATTGTGTCATTTAGATATCAACGACCGAATAAACAATAATGTTTGTATATCAAATATCTAACTTGGTTTTCATTCCGCAGTTAATATCTAAACAATTGAAAGCATAGTAAAAATAAGATTGATCATGCCATTGAAAAGGCCTATTTTTGATCATGCTATTACACTGTTCTTGAATATATATATATATATATAGATCACATGCTACAAGAACCTCGCAAAGAAGAGTTCAATGACTGGCCTCATGGATTTCTTGCAATCGGCACATTTGGAAATAACAGCTTGAGAGAAGATCCTGAGAGATGCAATATTCTAGAGTCTTCCTCCCAAAATCATCACCACCTACATGACTTTTTATAAAAAAAAATATACAAAAAGTAGAAAGAAAAAAGAATCTTTGACATTTTTGTATAGGTTGTTGGCTTTTTGACTTTTTGAGTGACTTTTTAATTTTTTGGTTAAAAAAGTCACTTGCCAAACGAAGTCAAATAACTAAAAATATTATATATATATATATTGAAAATTAAATATCCGAATTAGTTTATACACACCTCAACTGTGAATTTTTTTTTTTTAAAGTGAAAATCATCATTTTTGTAAGATTTTCACTCTTTTTTAAGAGTAAATAATTATTAAAAAAATTATGAAATATTTTGTGTGTTTATTTGATCACACTCAAGTTGAAATATGATCCCCACACTTTTATGCTTGAATGAGAAATAAAGTGAGGGGTCTGGATGGTCTCTAGTCCAGATCTAGGATAATTCGGTCTAGTTCGACCTATTGAGTTTACTTTTGAGTCCCTCTTCGATAATCAAAACAGTTTACATTTTAGGGTTTGTTGAGTATATTATTTCTGTAAAAAATTACGTTGATTGGATAACGAATATTATTATTCAGATCATTTTTATCTGAAAAAAATGAATAGTCAAAAAATTAACGGTTCATAAAAAAGTATTCCGAATACATAGGATCCGTTATCCGATCGATGTAATTTTTTACAAGAATAATATACTTAACAAATCTTAAAATGTAAACAGATCATATTATCGAAAAGAGATTCAAAAATGAATCCAATAAGCTAGACTGGACACTCCAGTCTAGATGGTGGACTGGCGGCAACCCCAACCTAAAGTGAATATCTTTGTGTTTGGTTTGGCTAAGAAATGTTTTATGAAAAATAATAAAATTTTAAATATTACGAGCTGTTTTTTTATTTTTTTTATTTTAATTCTTAAATGACTGACATTATTTAAGATAGAAAACATGTGACAATTAAATTCTATTGATTGCACATTTCATATTAATGTGAATTATTTTAGAGTAAAACTATTATATGTAATTACAAATTTAATTTTTTATTTTTAATTAAAAATTAGGAGAACTATCAAAAAAGTGAAGTTTATAAAAATAATTTCAAAATGACGGAGGTACAAATGATTTAAGTATTAGATTTGTAAATATTATACTTTCATCACTTAAAAATTATTTTCTGTACTTTTCATTTTTTAGAAAATCTCCCTAAAAATTACTAACTCAGAAGCAGGCAGGTGTGTTTGGTCAGGTCAGAACATTCAAAATATATAGCCGTTGTGGGGCGTGGACCACAAAAAGGGAAATGATTGTTTGGAAACATGGTATTCACAAGGTAGGGCCTACCAGTGGGGTCCACAAAAGTTTTAAATCTTTTTAAATATTTTTTTAAAAAATATAAATTAATTCCATAAAAATAAATATTAACAAATACTTTTAAAATTTTCAAACACCGTTCCCTCTCCCCTAAAAAAAAAATTGATGTATATATATTATGAGGTGTGGTCCACAAAAAATTTTATTTTTAAAATTTTCAAACATTATTTTGCATCCTCCTAAAAAAAAGAAAAAGAAAAAGAAAAAAAAGAGCTGTATATGAAAACTATGAGGTCGTTGATATTTAAATTTTTTATAAAAAAAATTAGTTTTTAATTTTTTCAGAAAATAGATTTTAAAAATTATAATTGTAAATGTAGGCTCACTATACAAAATATGAATTTAAATCACATTTTTTAAAAAAAAATTTAAATATTTTTTTGTTTAGGCTCTTTCAAATACAATTTAGGGCAAATTACATATACCTCCCTTGAGGTTTGGCTAAATTACAGATACTCTCCTGAGGTTTCAAAAATTACATCCCGCCCTCTAAGATTTGTATTTTTATAATAATTTGCTCCCTGAAGTTTAAATTTCATAACAAATTATCCCCTAATTTGTTATGCAAATATAACATTCAGGGAGAAATTTGTAATTTCTCAAATTTCAGGAGGGTATTTGTAATTTAGCCAAACCTCGAGGGGTATATGTAATTTACCTTACAATTTATAAAGTGAACCAATACGGTTTATAATTTTGTCAATCAAAAAAGTGATTTTGGCTTAATTTGATTAATTAAATTTTGACTTTTAACTTATTTTGAATCCCATCACCTTTATTTTTTTACATATTTTTTCAAAAAAAAATAAATTAAAAAGACAACTTTGAACTAATTTCTCAAAACAACCCTTTCAATTACAAATACATTATTATGACCTTGTATGAGGGAAAAATAAGTAGGTGATCCAAGGGCACTACTTGACACTACCTCCTATCAATTATTAAAAATAATTAGGTGATCCAAGGGCACTAGTTGAATTTTACTCTTTTCATCAATCACAGTACTTTTGAAACATCATCTATTTATCATTTTTTTTTTTGTTTAAATACTTGACACATCTAATTTATCATTTTTAAAGACCATTCTTAATGATGTGTTTGATAAATATTAAATTTTAATTTGTCAAATATTTTATTATATGAAATTTAATCTTAATATCATATTATTAAAAGTTATTTAAAAATGATAAATTAGGTGGACGAAACATTGTTGAAAAAATAAAATAAAATGAGGCAATCAAGCCATCAACTTCACCTATTTACTTTTTCAAAGGTATGAAGTTATTTTTGAAGAAAGTAAAGTTGATCCGAAAAAACGAGAAGACAATACCTAACGATGAAACGATGGGCCCCAAAACAGGCCAAAGTCAATGAAAGGCCCATTAAACAGAACTATGGGCCCATTGTGATGGCTCCAATTTACATCACCCATGACATGATCCAACTCAAAAAAAAATTTCTTCTTTTTATTTATTTATTTTTGTTACTGTGGTTGCCCTTAACAAAACTTTGGCCTGTTTTGGGGCCCAACTACCAAAACCATTGGGGTATGTGTTGAATCATGTCATGGGTGATGTAAATTGGAGCCAAGCCAAAATTACGTTTACAGTTATTGCAGTTTTCACAATAATCAAAAAAGTTACAAGAAATTATAGAGATAAATGTCTCTCTTTAATTATAAATACATATTAAATTCAAACAATGGATCACAAATATATAAATAACAAAATATCCTTATATCAAAATTCAAAATTTATGATCCAATAATTAGAATGCATACCTATCAATATCCCAGTATCATACATTATTCAAGGGTTTGAATAGACTTTTTATTTTTCCAAACTACAACTTCTGATGCGCCAAAGAAAAGGAGGCCTAGTATTTTAGTAGAAGTCTCCATTTAGAGGGACCATTTCAATACTTTACTATCAATCAAATTGCATATTTTATTCTAGATAATCATATCAAACAGATTGCTTAGCCAATTCTACTCCCTGCTTTGAATCAAGTTGGTCCAAACCAGTGGCTCAGAGTGAGTACATTGCCATTTCTTATAGTACAAGACATAGGTTCAATTAAAATCTTAACTAGTTCCACACTCAATTCAAATGAATATGGGCTTGTTCTGAATTATATATTTATATATGTGTGTGTGTTTTTTTTTAATAATTATTTTGTGGTCTTTGAGTTGTGGCAAGTTTGAGATAAGACTTTGGTCTCGTTTGGTAGAGTTGTGGAAAAGTAATTATAGATTATACCTTAACAGATTATGACTTATAGCTGTGAACAAAAACTGTTAACCTGTTTAGTACAGCTGTGGAATTATGAATTGAAGCAGCAGAGTAGTGTTTGGTTAATAAGCTGTAAAATAACTTTTTACTGTATAATTGTCCTTTCTACCCTTATATGATTTAAAAATAATTATTTTGTCATTTTTTCAGTTTTAATTTTTTTAAAAAAATATTTCATTAATAAAAGTTAATATAAGTAGTATTAATTAGTATCAATTAACATAAAAATTGATACATTTGCTAAAAATGTAATGGAAGTATTATTGTCACAATTATTTTTCATTATAAATTAATTAGTATCAATTAATTGCTTAATTAGTATCAATTAATACTAAAATTATTAATTAGTATCAATTAATGGCTTAATTAGTCTCAACTAATATTAAAATTATTAATTAGAATAAATTAATATTAATATTTAATTTTTATTAGTATCAAATTAATATTAATGATCAACAATTGTTATTAATTAGTATCAATTAATAATTAAATCATTACAAAAGTATACAATATTAATTTATTAATAATTAATACCAATTAATATTGATTTTTTTTCTTTTTCTTCAGAAATATACAATTTTTTATTTTTTAATTAATATAAAAATATACAATATGAATTTATTAATAATTAATAATTAATACCAATTAATATTTATTTTTCAATTAATATTGATTTTTTTTCTTTTTCTTCAGAAATATACAATTTTTTATTTTTTAATTAA